TGTATATATATGTGAATTTATATGCATATATTAATTTAAATACATGTAGATGAATATTTGGATATTTAATAATATTTTTGAATGATGAGTCTGCAGTTTTTTGCTGAGTCAGCAGTTTTTTTTGCTGAATCAGCAGTTTTTTGCTGAGTCAGCAGTTGCGTTTGTTCGATTTGGAAAAAATTTAAAAGTCTGGGTATTTATGTGGGAATTTTGAAAAGTTCAGGTATTTATATGATAATTTTATAATTCGAATATTTATTTGGGATTTTTGTAAAAGTTCGGGTATTTTTATGTGATTACCCCTTAATAATAACATAATATATTTCATACAACCAAATATTGAACAAAAGAAAAAAAAAAGAATCAGTTTAAAATATAAATATTCGCTTCAATATTAGTGATAGGAGTGGGAAAAACCTTGAATTTTGGGTATCCAACTGGAGTTGAGGATCGAATATCCGAAACTTTGGATATCCGGAATTTTATGTATTCGGAGGAATGATATACAATTTCAAGTAATAATTTTGGAATATCTGAATTTTCGAATTGGGATTTGAGTAATAGATATTATCTCATGGGTATGCAGATAATACAAATTATCATTTAAATTTTAGGATTTAGATATATTTACAAATATAACTTTATGTATATAATCTTTAAAAGTGATTATTTAACTCATTATCAACATATTTTTCCTCTTTTATTCGTATTTCACTCCATAATTATCTTGCGGATTTTTGAGTTTGGATATCCAATTTTAGGAATACGAGTTCACTAATAAAATATACAACCCTAGATATTTGGGTTTGGATTCTCTAAAAATTTCGGGTACCCAATTAGTAAAAATATATTTTGTTTATTATTTTCACTTCAAATACTATTATTCAACCTTACTTTTCTAAAACAAAATTCTATAAAATGGTATTTGTATCCCTCATTAAAATTTCGTCATTTAATATACACCTTTCTTATTTATTTTTTCATATACAATTAATAAATTCAAAAAAATGGAAGAAATCCTTCATTTTTACCAAAAATGGTTAATAATTTTTAGATTTCTAAATTGTGAGTGAGAAAACAAGAGAAAAATGTGCTTTCGAAAGAAAGTAAACGAAAAGAGATAAGGAAATGTCAAATGGTTTCGTTTTTTTAACGTATTCATTGTCAACGTAAATATGGAAATGATAAGTTTAAGGTAATAGAATATTAAATCATATGGATATCATAATGTGTACACCGTTTTGATTCAAATGGTTTAGTGCTCTATCATGAATTGTTGTATGAGATTTATTATGATACATTTGATATTGATATTTTCTATGGTTTTATGGATGAGTGTTTGATTCATTACGTATTGTGCATACTTTAATATGTTATGAAATCCATATATTGTTATGAACAATACTAAACTCCTTAGTCATATGTCGTTATGGGAATAATCATATACTAAGACTAGTATGATGTGTGATTGATGATCATATAGATAATCATAGGTATTGGATACGATCACAATCATAGGTATTCGTTGGAGAACGGAACACTGGATTGACCCGCATGAAATTGTCACATGGACTAGCATCATGACTTGAATCTTATATGACGGTTCCATGATTGGATCCTAAGACCTGAGATATCTACGGAATCCAACATGAGGAGTTGCGTACTTTGAATACGTCAAACGTCCTGCGTAACAGCAGAATTATAAAGGCATGTATCAGGTACGAAACGAATCATGTGCTGGTTGTAGATAGTCAATACGAGATTTGTACCTCTCGTAAAAGAGAGAGATATCGCTAAGCCCCTCGTGTGAGCGAGACTGTGAAATGTGTGGCCGCAATATAGACGAACGTCCTCTATTTCTTACAGTCGAACTCAGTGAACAAGAAAGCAGTCGAATCAGATAAGGTGGCATGTCCATGCCTTATGTTCGACTTATGATATCGTGATACAAAAGGACATCACCCGGAATCATCACTGGCGTTCATATGATCACGAACAAACTCTATTCGAGATAGATAGCCATAGTGTCTTGCTAGAGATCGCCTATGATTTGTATATCCGGAATAGAGATTTCGGGTTATACTGCTATATCGAATGAGTCTACAGAGTCACACACGCAGGGAAGGACAAAACGCACGAGAAAATGACGGAAAAACCGAGACGGAAGGGTCCAGACCGGACGGATCAGAAGGGCCAGATCCGACGGTCCGCAAGTCCAGACCCGACGGTCTAGAACATGGTCTGTCCGTTCCTGAAGGTTTGGAACGAATGGTCCACGTTACGCAGACCGTCCGTTCTGCAGTGCTGGAACGGACGATCTACATTTAAGTCTGGATCGTCCGTTCCGGCCTTCAGGTTTTTCGAAAATTAAACCGAAATTAGGGTTAAATCACTTTATAAGAAGAAAATTAAACCCTAATGAAAGTGAGCCGACTTTAGAACACTTCAACAGACTTTTGGATCCAAGAGGTTCTAAAAGTGATCTAAGTCTCGTTTTCTCGAAGCACAAAAAACCGAATAGCAGATCCGGGTTCTAGCAGACAAGTTTCAATCGTTGGAATCCATCCCAAGGTGTGGATACGTGTAGAGGGCGAGGTAATCTTCTTGCCTAAAGTGATCGAACGAATTCTTCAGTTGATACAGACCACGGATCGATTGAGGTAAGCGTTCTAACGTTTCTACGGTTCATACATGCATGGTTCTAGGGTTTCATATCATTTTTGTTTTACATCCGCTGTGCAAACTCTAGAATCGATCTGGAGATCCCAAGAAACCCAACAGTGGTATCAGAGCCTGGTTGCTCTGTTTTGATTTCGTAGAACCCGATCACGCACGTTTTAGGATTTGAATCGTTTGAATCCATGTTTGCTTTGATTTCTATGCATGTTTGATGATTGAATCTATGGTAGATTGCATGTTTCATGTTGCATAGAGTGCAGAAGTTCGAATTTTGGGTCTACAGATGAACTCGGATGTGTTTCCGGTCTGATCGGGGCCGAGAAAGCGGAAGAACGTGATCTGATCATGTGACCCTAGATCGTCCGTTTTGGGTATGCCAGACCGGACGGTCCAGGGGTGGCGGACTGGG